TCGGCCGAGTGTAAGGCCCACGTTTGTCTAATACCGCAATACATAAATAGCTGTTGCGTTCCGTGTTACACTGCTTTGTCGAAGAAGAAAAGGCAGAAGTTTTAAAACGATGATTGATCTAGTCCCACAATCCCATCCCCACCAAAACCAACGAATACTTTAGGACCTGTTTGTTACGAGGGTTTGGGTGGGTATATACAGATGGGTTTAACAAAAATAGTCCAATGGCTTATCCCATGTTTGGATGCAGGCTTAAGGCCCAGTATTTAAATCACGGCCCGTAACCCACAGACCCCTAAACCCATGAACATGGGTTCACCAAACCCAGGGGGGAGGTGGGTTTTAAAAACCAGTCCAACCGCATATGATGGTTAAAAGACATTTATATCCCTAATAAAATCTCATATTTACCCAAAGGATCTTGGGAGCCAGGCGCTCGACCTCACCACCATCCATCGGCGACTCTGGACAGAAGACTGGAAAAGACGAAGCCGCCTGCTGTGATTCTCTGCGTTGGATAGAAAGAAGTGGCTATGGATGCAAGATTCGTCGCTCCTATCAACCCACTCGACTGTGTATGAAGTGGAATGGGCTCCAGTTCATGGCTATATAAAACCCTAGCATCATCTTCAACAGCCCAACCAGATCTTGGCGAGGTAAGGAACAGCTATCCATTTTTGCCTTCAATTTGCTAGATTTGGGTTGGAGGATTAAAAACTTCAACTCAAATATAAAAAATTTGGGTTGAACTCGAGTTAGGTTCGGGTTAACCCGCTCAACAGCCCCAAGTAAATTCCACTACACGACGCCACTAACTTGCCATAACCCGTGAGACCGCCTCATTTACTGGCCATTCCGGTTCCTTCATCTCTTTACCCGAAATCTCAGTATATAAAAGCCTTCTCTCTCTCCCTCTCTGTCTCTCTCTCTCTCCAATTCCCTTGACAGTTATCTTCAAGCAATCTCACCGTGACCTTGGGTATCGTCTCCGATCTCTCTGTCTCATAATTTCTGTAAGTGTTTGATAATTTCCAATTTTTTAGCAATTTAATTTTGATGAACTGAATGATCTGATTCTTAAGCTTTTGACCTTAATCGGTGCTTAGTTTATTTCAATTGATTATAGGTTTCTTGGAACTCTATGTTTATAAATACGTCTATTTGTATGTGTATGTGTTGCTGTAGGATTTTTACTTTTTAGGGTCTGTGTGTTTTGTTTGAAATTGATTCGTATGTATGATGTTTATGTGATATTGGTGTATCGTTTGTGTTTGTTTGTTGTAGGTTTTGGTAAAATTTTAATCATTTTATTTTTTGAAGTGACTTTTAGTTTTTGGAAATGGTTTGGAGAACTATTGGTCTGCTTTTCGAAGTGTCTGGACCAGGGAGAGATGATCGTTTGATGTAGTTGATGTTTCTTTGGGTTCTTAGCAAATAGATAAAAAGTAGGATCGAGATTCTGGATTTTATGTTTTCTGTTTTATTGGTTGGTAGGAAGTGGAAAACACTGCGTAGTTTGTGCTCATTTGAGCGGAAATTTTTGTTTACCAAGGTTCATGGAACTCTGAAAAGATTTTACGGTTTTCTTGGTAGATGGATTCTTCGAGATATCTTTGTGATACATATTGTTTTTGTTTCGGATTTGGAAACTATTAAATTTTAATTCATTGATTGGTATAGTTTTATTTGTAAGGGTTGCAATTTCGTTGTTGGCCCATGGATGAAAATATTGATTTTCTTTGTAATATGTAGCATTAGTATATGGCTTGAACAATAGAATTCTTATTTACTTGGATTTATGTCATGTAAGGGTTTTAAATTAAAGCAATCAATTGGATGCATACTGTCACAGGAAGATTTATCTTATACTTTTTAGCTTCATATATTTCGATTGAATAATACGAAACAGTTCATGGAAAAGTTTAACTGGATATCATATTTCATCTGTGGCATCATTTTGCTATGTGCATATGTTAACGAGTGGTGTGGTGGAAGTTTATCTTTTGTTAGCCACTTATCTATGATTTCGTATTCAATATTTATTTTGTTTTTCCTTATGAAATTTGTCCCCTGGAAGTGGAAGCAGTTGGTATAATTCAGGCAGATCATTGGACAATGTTCAGAAATTTTGTTTATAAAATTTGTTCATTTGTAGAACTAGTGAGATTCGTGCTGCTTATTCTTGTGCATTATGTTTTCGGGGAATTGCGTTATTTATACCTAGTTTTGCTCAAAAGCGTTTAATGTTTGCTTCTTTGACACTTTTTCCTTAATTTTTGTGTTTCCTTGGGAATGTGGAATCTGATAAAGTTTGAACTGGAAGACCGAAGATGGCAGATAATGAAGATAGAGAGGAAATTACTTCCCGTGGAAACGAGTGGGAAGTTGTATCACTCACAGCATCAACATATGCTGCTGCTCCTGGTCCAAAACAGAATGACGATGAAAAGGATACTGCTGTTGGAGAGAATGAATCAGAAACTTCTCATGCTATGGTTATGTCTGGCCATTTTATCTTTCCACCACGTCAGCGTGAAGGTTTGCCATTGGAACCTGAAAATACTGAGGTTCATAGGGAACGAGGAGTTGAAGATCCTGTTTCTGAAATGATCGCAGAGGAAGGGGGTATTTCAAATACAAAGGAAGAAGAAAATTGGAATTTTAAAGGATTGGCCGAGTCAGATGATTTTTCTGGAATTCAGTTTTTTGATGAAAAGGGTACTAAGTTATCCATTAGTGGTACTGAATTTGAAGAAGGCACAACTTTAGAGGGATTAAATTTGGTGGAAAAAGAGCAGAGCATTTACAGTGCTGCCACGTTTAGTTCCTTCCACAGTGAAGCAGCCATTGGTGAATCGACCATGGTTGAGGAGAACGTTGGAATTGCTGAACCAATGGACTCTTCAGACTCTGACGTAGATTCAGACATCTCACATTTTCCGAAGAATAGTGACGAAGATAAATATGATGGATCTGACCTACCTTGCAAAGCTTGGTGGAAGAGGCAAGCTTCTTCTTTATATGCTCATGCTAAAGAGGCAAACACATTTTGGTCAATTTTCGTTGCGGCAGCTGTGATGGGCCTTGTAGTTCTTGGGCAGCAATGGCAGCAGGAAAGATGGCAGATTTTGCAACTGAAGTGGCAGTTCCGCATCAATGAAGAGGTATGGTGTTGCTAATGGTGTAGAAAAAAATGAATTATTTCAGTGCTAGTATATTTTAATGGCTCTTTATGCATACTACTTTAGTCATCTACGATGTACAGATTTTATGTGCGTCCTTTAGCACCAACAAAGTGCGGGCACTGACAAAGTTAAGGGGCTGTAATAAGGCAAACTCTGACAAGGTTTGCCATATTGCCTGGACTGTAAGTTCATGGGTTGTCCGGAACTGTGGCAATAACCATGGAAAATAACAAGACTGGTTTGGGGGATTTGGGTTATAAGGATTGAATCGAACCAGAGTGATTAAGCCATGTTAAATAGAGTTAGTAAAAGAGTAATTTGCAGATCTGGACTCAAAGTATAAAATTCTAACTGCTATCAGAAGAAGAAGAGCATTCTTGATCCAAAATCCCTTAATTGCCTTTTCTGTGGTCCTATGCTCCACATGAGATGCTCTTTCAAGTAGTCATTATTGTAGGTATATGAACTTAGAGAATTGTATTTAAGTTTTTATTACTTTCTTTGTGTGCCTTTCGTGAGCTAGTTTCATAAGGTTTTTGTTCTTCAACTTGGGGAGATACTTATTTATTTTAATTTAGTGATCTACAGATTCTTTGTGAATCCTTATTTTTATAATGCTCCCATACTAAACAACTAGCAATTATTGGACGTTTGATTGGACATTTGGGTATTTTACGGTTAGCAAGAATTTTTTGGATTACGCAAGGTGTACTTTCATCTTTTGATCTAGCCTATTTGTGTTCCCTAGCATATATAAACATTAGGCTTGGATATGGGTGTCATTATGGAACTGAAGGTAGTTCAGGCTTTTTGTAGACAATCATTCATACCTTTCTTATCTCGTGTAGGAGGGTTAAATGTGATGTCACAATGTTGTGAGAGCTTAGAGGGACATAGAAAAGGCCTGATGGTTTTTATGCTTGCTCTTGTAGCATAATTTCTTCCACGCAATGATTGGGACAAATAATGCTCTTCTACTTGATTGGAATTTTTTTCCATATAGGTCGATTGGAAACTGAAGTTGGAAATAACATAGTAGACGTGTTTTGGTTTGAAGACGTTCATCCTTGATGTAAGCAGCCTGGTCTGATGATTTGTTTGTGATGTACAAACCCCTATTGTTGTTTGGAATAATTTGTGTCAGGTCTTGATTGGTCTTTATTATTTGAATGCCAATATGCGTAGTTAGGGATATGCTATTTACCTTGAAGAGATCTAAAGATGAATTCAAACACAGTTTTAGTAGCTCACTAAAAAAGCTCATTGAACATGACACGTCTCCATCTCTCTATCTATACATATACCTATCTTCTTTTTTTGGTAAATGATATATCTGTCTTCATTAAAGCACAAAGATGTTAAGGATACCTGTGTGGCCATATTCCTGCTTTGGGTGGAACTGTTTGGAAATTCACTGGACTTCTGGACTCTGGAGTAATAAATTTGGGTGATAAAGGGACATTGTGAAAGTAGCACCAACTAAACCAAATCAAGCTTTATGTCCCAGTCATTTGGGGTCGGCACATTGGGAGAGTAGTGCTTTCAATTTTATCTTACAATGTGAATAAATGTATTCATGCAATTTCACTGAATGCCCATAATTCCCATTTTGTGTAGAACTATAGGATATTCATTGGACTTGCAGAATGATTCATTGGGTGAGAAATGGCAACCATCAATGAGATTGTGAAAGTAGTGTTTTGAGTCTAATCCATACATACCGGAATTGTAGATACCCCTAGCGTCCTACAAATTGGGGTCACACCAACCAAAGAGAGTGGGTTTGCGATCCAAACCCAATTTATAATCCAAACAGTAAATTGACTCGTGATCTAAGTAATTCCACATCATAACTTCAACCCCAGATCGTAACCTTAACTTGTTATTTTTTCATTTTGATGTTCGGTAAACTTAATTTTTGATTAGTTAGGATTTGATTTTTTTTTTCATAATACAAATATGCTAAATTTAACTTTATTATTTACAACCACTTACAGGTACATTATTTTGAAATATGATTTGTTTTGGAACTTTTATCAGAAATATAAACTAAATATTAGTTAGCTATGTGTATGTGGACGTATAATTCAATATAAATGTTACAAAACGAATCACAACCAAAATAGCGTACCAAGTGAATCTATCCCTATTGTACAATATAGTGGAAGAAGTATCGTATAACTTATCCGTATCTATACCATGTACCATAGCAAACCACGATCTAAGTAACTGGTAACAGTGTTCTAATTTAATAACGTACTAAGAAAATGGATGTTATTTTATTCTTGGTGGCCACTAGAGTTTCGTATTATATTTGCTAAAATTCATTGTCTAAGCAAAGACCAAAAGGTGTGTTGATGTCAAAATAAAATTCATAGACATGCCTTCTGAACATGACCTATCTGAGGTGGGAGACTCTTTGAGTTAGGATCATGCATTCCTGAAAATGTACGTATGCTATAAAGTTGTTCTTAAAATGGATCAGTAACAAACCAGAGCTTGCTGTGGTGTGTTCAAGGACTACTTTCAGTTCTAGTTCTGTTTTTGCATTCCATGTTGTATAAAAACCATGGCAGCTGGAAACCTTTCCAGGTAAGGTAAGCATCTATAATAGTTTCTATGATAGCCGTGGCTCAACCTAAGCCAGCTTATATTTTGTTATAGGCATGGTTATTATTTGTTCAACTGTATGTCTAATTTGTATATTTAGACACTTGCATTTGATGCTATTTCTTTATCATATATACAGAGGATGGGTAAGATGCTGGGTCCCATATCGCGATTTAAAGATGTTATTGTGGGTGGCCACCGACGGGGTGCCTCTGTTAGTGGCAGAACCTCAACAGATCGTTAAGATGATGACGAAAAGAGAGAGAGAGATGTTAGGAATTGTGAAATTCTAGTGTGCTTTTGGGTGGTGTAAATGATCTATTTCTCTTATGACTTAGATATAAAGCTACATGTTAATACTTGCATGTTATTATGCCACTATTCTTTTGGTTGTGGGTTCCTTGGTGAAGATTTAAGAAGTCACTCTCTTAGTAAATCTCCTATTAGCATTCTCAAAATCATTGTTATATCTTTTTTGCTTAGATTGAAGCCATCTTCTCAAGCCTTCGGCTTCTTTTACCAGGTTAAATATGTTTCGGGTTTCGTGCGGACTACTAATTTGTTAATTCCGTACATAGATTTATATAGATATGGTTGCATCTTCATTATTATGTCTTTGACAGAAGGAAATGTTAGTTTTAGGCCAAGTTGATTTTTTCATTCAAACACTTTCTGAAATCAGGTAATGAATGATATGCATTCTGTTGAACTTGAACTTGAACTTGGAACTTTCTGCTGCTCCGGCTGTGGTTGCTTTCTTCCGAGTGCCCCTCTCTTCTGTTAGTGTAACGCTCCCATTTTTTGGATGCGTTATTTGATAAATCGATCATAATATATTATAAACATATTTCCAAATATAGAGATAGAGTTTTAATTTCATCAAAATTAAATAATAATAGTCTCCAAAATTTATAAATAGATGTCTTCAAATTGTGTATTACAATAATAAAATTAAGGGAAAATTTTATCCACATTTTTTCTAGTTAGGTCTAAATTTAGGAACACTTTTTATTGATTTTGAAATTTCATTGCACTTTCTTCTGGTTTATACTTTCAAATTAAAAATATCTCCAATAATTTTTAATTATGTCAGTATAAATAGTAACACTATGCCTTTAAATTTTTTGAAAATGTCAAAATTATCATTTTTTTTTATGTAAGTATACTAAAATATCTTCAACTCTTTTCCTATTATACATACCACATCTTTTGTCGTTTGTGAAGATCCAAAATGATATGAGGTTGCTGAAAGACATAGGGGATTGAAGCCAGTTATTATTTTTCAGCTCGTTCTCTACAGTGATCGATCATTACCTAAGTTAGTAAAAAAATATATATATATTTTTTTTGCAAATTTGTAAATTTTTTTCATGCAAATAGTTCTAATTTTTTTCATGCCAATTTTTTAAAATTTTTTTAATCCAAAACACTTGTAAAACTTTTAAGTCACTAAGTCTACTTTCTTATAAATTGTAGGGTAAGATGTGCATTTTTTGATTTCTTATTTTCTTATATTACCTAAGTTTCCCCTGTTGTCTGTTGCATGTAATTTTTTAAAAAATATACAACAGAGGGAACTTAGGTAATATAAGAAAATAAGAAACCGAAAAGTGCATCTCTTATCCAATAATTTATAATAAAATGGACTTAGTGACTTTAAATTAAATTTGAGTAAAAAAGTCTAAAATACTTTCTTCAATCCTTGACTCAAATTTATATCAAATTAAGGAAAATTCATTTTTTTACTCAAATCAAGAGAAATTCAAATTTTTAATGGTGAGATTTTACTATCTTTTAAAGATTCAATGATCATCTTTACTCTCTTTTAAATTTGGGTTTATTCTTATTTTAAATTTGGATATCTCATTCTTTAAATTTGAGTTTGCTCATTGGATCCATTTGTATCAAATCAAACTTTTTATTCAAATGTTAATTTAAATTTGAGTCATAATTGAAGATGTTCTTGCTCTCGTTTGAGTGACTTATATGTATTTTTGTTTGTGAGCAACTATTGAATATAATTTACTGATATAATTTGTTAATTCACCGTGACATTTGAATTGATTGTAAACTCTATTAAACATTAAAATTTGATGTTGATTCAATAATTCCTATAAAATTATATTATTATATCAATAAATTATATTAATTTTTTAAATCTAAATAGCATTACTATTTTGTTTTTGCGCATTAATTACATGCAAGTAGGAAACTGTGGACAGCTGAGTGTAATTTGAGCAGCAAAAGTCAATTCATTGCCTGATTTCCTCCAAATGGTCCACGTTTCGCACAGCATAAAGAAGAAAAACAAGATCAATGATGGTTTAAAACTAGTCATCAATGGCCAAATCTGAGCTTTAGAACTAATAAATCTGAACTTAAAAAGATAAAGAAAGCGGCTCTCAGAACAGAAAATCCGAACGACTTACACACCTATATGTCAAAATATTTCATGGGTTGATTTGAAAAATCAAAGAACAATGGGAGTACGTAGTAGATGCAAATCAAGCCTCTCTTTGAATTAGCAGGGATTGCTTTCAGGTGAATCGAAGAGCTGAGGGTCGAGCTTGACCCTACAAACAGGACAAACCGGATTCTTAGAGAGCCATGTATCGGCGCATTGTAGATGATAGCCGTGGTTGCAACTGGGAATAAGTCTTGTTGGCTGGTCGCTCTCGATCTCGTCCAAACACACCGCACACTCCGTAAACATAACCAAATCTTTTCCGGTCATTTTGGGCAGTTTCTCAAGTTCAGACGTCGATAGGCCTTTTTCTTTTGCAGGATTCTCCGGCAACCGAAAATCCGAGATGTTGTAGTTTCTTGCAGCGTACCATAATATGCATATGTAGACGAGGAACACCAAGCCCATTCCGGCGCATGGTAGAAAAAGGGCAAGAAGCACAGACACAAGCATTTTGTTGGTGGTAATCTCGCATTGATCAACAGACAAACAGCCTACGGGGTCGGATGGGAACTGGAAGGAGTAATAGAGGATGGGGTGTAATGCACACCATGGCGCATGGTTAGGTTTCTGCGAAAGTTGGGGGAATATATATGGGGGGCGTTTGGTTGGATGGGATGTACTAGGGTCTGAGGGTACGTGAGCTAAAAAGGAGTTGGTGGGTGAGGTGGTGGTGGCTCTTGTAGGAGGAGACGTGTAATTATTTGGGGGTGGTAAACGGCTATATCGGGAAGGCAACAAAACAGTGTGTTTTTGGTTTTTGCAGCTTTGGGAAGATGACGCATTTTGTGAGAATGCCAAGAAAGGGTAGACTAGAGAAACGGCATTAATGCGTTACCACAATTCTCTCTCTCAGGTCCTTCATTCCTTACGTAGCTGCAGCGTCAATGGCTAGTTGTTGTTCACCGCATAAATAGGGCAAGAGGTATTATTATTATTGTTTTAATAATTAAGAATATTCGGATATTTTTCTTGATTTGATCAAAAATAAATTACTTACGTTAAAATTAAAATATTTATGATCGACTGCCAAGAGAATGTCAAAGTTTAAATTTAAAATATATGTATTTATAATTCATTTCTAATACCACGCTGCTTGGGCTTTCCAGATCCGCTAGCGATCATAAAGCACTGCTGTGTGTACTAATATGGAAGCTCTGTGGGCTGTGTCCTGTGGGTGGCTTTGATGGGATTTAAAAGGGTTTTTGGAACATTCCTGGTCGGGTGTAAGCCCATTGACGGAACTACCTTATGGGCAACCACACACAAAGCTTTTAGGTTTTTTAAAATCCTATATCCATCCTAAAGTTATAAAAAAAAATAAAAAAATTATATAGATTACGTAATTCAATTAATGTAATAAAAAATCCCAGTAGCCTTCGATAACAAATTGGAGATATTAATCACTTGAATTAGGTTTCTCCTTGAGACAAATGCTTGTATGAGTCTGTGACTAAAAGGAAAAATGAAAGAAAGTTATTTGGTTTACATGAATGACATATATTATAATAATTTATTGTCAATTAATATTATGACAGTATCACAAGAAAATAATATGTACGATTGTTGATCTCAAAAGTTGCATCACAGGTGTGGAAGATGACCTGACAATTGGTGGGGAGTTCCAACAAAAGAAGTTGAAAACCAAAAGAATTTCAGTAGTCGACCCTCTGATGAGTAAAGTCAGAATCAGAATGACAAGGAAATTGTATATAGCTGGAAAAAACGACTTACCTGGTTCTTGACTAATATAACTCTTTTATAGGTGGGCAAAAATGTGCCATTGGAGGGTTCTTGGCTACTTTTTGAATAAGACGGTATAGAAAGTGGAACGTCCCTTTGTGTTTTCTTATGAGGGCTTCGTAACTGGTTTGAGCTAGTTTACGGGCGGTTGGTTGGATATTGAGCTCGGTATGGGAGAATGAGCAGCTAGGTCGTTGTTGGAGTTCTCCCATTAAAAGGCAGAGCTCACGTGCCAAGCTCGAGCGCATGTGCCAGACTTGTGACTAATTTAGCCTCACCAACGATAATATTTATTCGCATGCATTGCACTATGTAATGAATAAGGGAATTGATGATGCACAAAAAAATGTTTATGCATTAAGTATTAAATACAATAATAAATTATGAGAGTCAACACAAATAAAACACAATTTAAGTAGTTCGATCAAAATGACTTACTTCACTGTAAATGAAAATGATGGATGAGTGTTTTATTACTAAAGGGGTGCAGAGAGAGTGCTTAAATGTGAGTGAGATGTGAGAAATACACCTTTGTATAGGTGAAGTTTATAATTTATAGGTGTCCCTTAATAGATTGATGCACCTTTCTCGTATCAGGTAAAGTAATTTGGTGGAGGTGACACCTTTCTTGTAACAGGCTATTAGTAATAGTTTGGTAGCCAATTTCATGGAGGTGGTGATATGTGTATCCCAAAGAGATTTCATTGTATGTTAGTTGTGGACTAAGTCTCTTGCCATAATGTGGTTGACCTGACTCTCTCAAGATGACACGATTGATCTGCCTTAACTTCTTCTATTTTTTGGTAGACTTAACCTATATGTTTGAGATGAGTCTGGTTTGTGATTCTAAGTTGTTCCTAATCTAAGTTAGGCTCATCAGTAATGAATGACATATATTTTAAGTATATTTAGTTGTGCTCACTATGTTATTTTTTGTTCTACCAATCAATATAGTCTCATACCTAAATAATTATGAATTTTTTAATATAATTTGGACACTTTATGAATACATCTACATAAATATTTTGACATGTCGAACTCAATTTTTAAGTTACAAAGATTGTAAAAATTAAGTTGGATAATTGAACGAGTGATCAATGATTAATAGTTTGATTGATTATATAAAGATGGACTATATCATCTTTTATTTAGTTTGCCTCATTTGTTATGAAGATATATAATTAACTTTTTTTTTGTATACGTTATATTTATCGACGTTTGATCATTTTGTATTTTATGAATTTGTAAGTATCAAATAAAATAGATAAAATTTAAATATTTTATTTTATTGATCGACAAAAAAATTAAAAATTTTAAAGTAAAATGTCCACCTTAGTCGAAATTTCTAGCTACGCTCCTTTGGTAGTTGGGGTGGTTTCAGGGACATGCTCAAGTATAATTCCAAAAACACCATGTAATCGAATTGATCAATTCCAAAATTATTTGATAATACTTTCTTAGCTCAAAAACTTATTTTATTTCGTTATTCACTTGCTTGTACTCTAACTAAAGCCATTTGTGTTATATTTCTACGAATTCTATCAAGTTGAGAGGAGGCCAATTCTAGCTTGCTGGACATCTTTTTATCCCAACTTGGAGGTGTGTCTTTCTTGGCATATCTCGGCCCTCTATATGGGTTAGCCCTCCACAGAAGAAAGAGTGTGCGTCTCTTATCACCTATATGGTATGTGGTATGTGTGTTTATAAGTGTTTCCTGGTGTCGCTTCTGTTAGAATTAGTGGTTAAGATTTGATCAAAAAAATCAAAATCTCTTAAAGGAAGTGTTCGGTATTAGATTGGAATCCCACACTTTAGGCCAGAGGCCTTTTCGTAATGGTAATCACGTAGGGGTGTCGGGGGACTGGGCTATCCTACATCGGATAGCTTCGGATGTGTGTGTATTTATAAGTCTTTCTTGACCCTGACTCTGTTAGAGTCGGTGGTTAGAATTTAATCAAAAAAATTTGGTATGAGTGAAAATATGATGAATGGAACATGATGGATGAAAAATATAAATTTTCTTTGTTTGATTCGAAGGGAAAGATGGAGGAAAAAACAATCCATGCCGCCCACCAGTTTTGATCCGTCCGTATTTGAGCGCAAAATGACAACAATGCTGGGCAAGTGAGGCAAATGATTTCCATATTTTTTTTATGTAAAGGTTAATTACGATTTACTCCAAAGGAACTCATGTCTCAATAGATTATTCATATTGTATTATTAAGGGTATTTTTGATATTTTATTAATAATAATATTCAATTGTTTTTTTTTCATACCAAATAAAATAATAAAAAAATTATTCCTTCCATTTTTTCATTTTTCTTACCAAACACAAGATGAAAAACTTATTTTCTTCTTTCAAGAATGAAAAACTTATACCTCATATTTTTCTATCCATCTTACCAAACAGACCATTAAAAATCACTGGAAGTCATCTAATTAAGTCCATGACAATAATGTCTAATAAAACTAACAAGTAAAAACCTTGTGGGTCTGAACATCACATTCTTTTTTCTCGTGCACGTAAGTTGATACCCTGGTAGTCGAAACATGTAAATCATTGAATTCTTGTATATTTCTTCAACTATGTTATGCTATTTTTTATTTCCCTAGTATTTTGTGTCTCCTATTCCATTCTCTGTCTTGCTTCCAGTGGTCCAAAACGGAGAAAGCAAAAGAATGGTAAATCTCAAAGAATAGAATCATCTTGCTTCTTGGCTAGAGTTATGACTTCTTACTTAAATTGATATAGATCATTGAAGACTATCTAAACCTTAAAATAAAAAATGTAAGCTGTTCTTTGAGTTATCACAGTTTTTAATTGATTTCTCTCTTTAATTAATGGGTCTCTATTGTGAAAGTAGTGTTAAGTGCTACCAAACAAAGTAAAATCTACAAAATCAAACTGATAACAACTGGTCCCATCTTAAAACTGGCTAGTATGCTAAACTACTAGTCAAAATCGAGTTCAAAAAAAATAAAAAACCAGTCAAAATTACATGTTATAATCTTCTACTAGTCAAAAGTTGATTTGTAGAATTATTAGAACAAAGTAATGTGACTAGGATTTGATGTATCAATTTTGTTCGCAAGTGGTAGAAAAAAAAGGGGCAAATAGACAATACCACTTGAGCCAACTATTAGAGCGTCAACTCCCGGGTTCAAATCACACGAACCCCCTCCCGACGCCAGTTTTAAATAGTGGCAAAAAAAAAAAAAAAAAAAACTTAGATGATACTTAGAATAATTTTCAAGTATGAGCTTAGGGGGAGATTAGATAAGTAGGCCAGATCAAGAGGTCAACGAAGACACGCAGAGCTCAAAGGATTAGAGCTAGAGCTCCCTCTCAGACGTGGTGACAGCGAAAATGATAAGGGAATAACTGGACAACGACAGAAATATTACATGTGGCAGAGAGTTATATTCAAGGCACAAAATCCTTGATCAGTCAAAATCTTTTCCTAAGATCAAGGAAAGTTCCTTGGATAAATGGCAAAAATCTCGATGCAGATCCCTTAGAACTAGAAACAGTCCTATAAATACTATGTAACGCCCCCAAGAGAAGGGAGAACCCTAATAACGTACAATTAGTCTTGTAAATCTTTCGGATGATCAATAGAGAAAAAAAGAGCAAGAGTCTCCATTAAAGAGTAGATTAACCGAACTTTCGAGCTGGTGAATCACTATATTTTCATTGTGTCAATCCCCTAATTTCCCCCTCCAATACCCATCATTGTTCTTTTAAGTCTTGCAGCCCAGATTCTAATAATCACACACTACTCATCGCACATGCTCAGTATCACAAAGTTGCATCACATTGATATACACCATCAAAACTAAATAAAAATATTAACTGTCCACAGATGTATCAAAAATAAAATAAAGCTCAATGGGTGGAAAAATAGAATCATTAGGGTTCCATCCATAGAATTTTCTAGTCCTCAAAAGTTTTCAAGTCATATTTTCTAATTTTTATTCAAAAAACAACTCTATTATTTATTTAATTATTTATCACACTATACATTAATTGTGTTACATGTTTAGATGGGAGGATGATACCAAAATTATTCAAAAAAATTATCCAACTCGTATAACATGTAAAATGAAAATTTTCAACTTGGGATTGAGGTTCTAATTCGAGTTATATAAATAATGCTATCAAACTAATATTACAAGTAAAGAACAATAACTAATCATATCTTACCATCAACAAACTTGATTGTTTTGGTTCATATTCTCTTATTTTTATAGGGCAAATGATGATAATTTTTTCTTTCCAAAAAAGCTGTCTAAAATATCATAATTACATTTATATATCAAATAGGCGAAATATTAGAATTAGTTTTCAGAATTTTACTGAATTTTTAATTGTCTAAATTTAATTTCTTAATTATCTATTTTGTGTTAATTAAAATATTATTTTTTTAATTTTAACCATTAGAACAAACAGAGTCAAATCACGTGTTATTAATGTGATCGTCTATTTCCTGTGCCTCCGTTTGCTTTAAATTATTGAAATTAACAGAAGGAGTTAATTGACACAAAATTAATAATTGAGGAATTAAATTAAAATATTTGAAAATTTAAAAATTGTTTTAAAATTAAAGCTGAAATTTAAGGATCGTTTATGATATTTATCCTTTTAAATAAATATTCATACCATTTATTGTGTAATTTGGGCCTCTCACTTCGCATCTTCTGTCATATTCAGCGATGACTTACTGGTGGATCGGACGTTTCAAACCACATGGCAAGAAACAATGGAGCATCTGTGCCAGTTGACTGTTACTCCCCGCCAAGTGCACGAATCTCCTTTACTTTGAAGTATCAAATTCTTCTCCTTACATCAAAATATCAAATCCTCCCAACTTTCATCCCAATTCCTGTTTCTTCCCAACAGCAAAATACGTACTAGAAATAAGCGGAGGAAGAAGAAACCCAGAAGCACAAAGCAATGAAGACCCGAAGGCAATCCGTTTTTGTACTTGTGTTTTTCTTTTTTGTTTTCAATCTCTACGTCGGGAAAGCTCAGGTGTCAATTCCGGCTAAGTTCGATGGGTTCTGGTACGAGAACCGGTCGCCCGAGATTGATTCTATCATTATCGAAGCGTTTTTTGACCCGGTATGTCCAGATAGCAGGGACGCTTGGCCACCTCTCAAACAAGTTCTCAACTACTACGGCTCTCGCATTTCTCTAGTTGTCCACCCCTTCGCTTTACCGTCAGTACTCCTTTCTCTCGTTTCTATACTAACGCGATCATCTGTTTGGTTGCCAGGAAAGAAAACCAAGGAAATGAAGAAAAAAAATGGAAAATTCTGATTGATTCTTTTTTATTTTGTGTGATCCTGTTAGTGATTTTCTGCGGGAATTAAGGATCTTTGAGGTTTGGCGTTTTGACCTCGTTTAGAACTATGATACTTGGGTTTTCATCTGATTAGTAGTTAAACAATTAAGTCTTATTTTTTTCCGATTTTTTTTTTTTTGACAAAAATTTTCCTAGTTTCAGCAATCACTCTGCATCTCTAATTCAACTGTTTTCGCCATGAATTTGCCCTTAATCTGATATGGGGGTGGAGGTGATAGCCCAAATTCGATTCAGCTCATAGCTTGATCATGTTGACTATATTCCAACATGAAAAACCAGTGTCAGCTGAAGAACCAGATTTATTCATCTTTTATTTGAATGAGATTATGTTTCGTCATAGGCACTGTCTGCAATTCTATTTTGGTGTTCAATTGAGGAGATGAATGGATTGCATCGACTTGTTGCCTTTCTTTGACTAATTTGGATTAAGGTTTTGTTCAGTTGCTCTGAGGGATGATTTTTTTGAACGAGTGTGATGTTCTCATTTGGTAGTTAAGTTATAACATATTGAACAATCTTGCTGAAGACTGGTTGATAATCTTCCTGTTGGAAAATTGCAGGTACCATGACAATGCCTTCGTCACTTCCCGTGCTTTGCATATTATCGACAAGTTGGTGAATACTACAGCTACATATAATGTGTTGGAGTCATTCTTCAAGCACCAGGTTAGAACTCTTATGTCAAATAAAATTGATCTTGATCTGAATTTGGGGGAAAATAAAGGCAGTTCCACTCGTCAATTTACCATGTGCCACATAAGAATGTTTCACCCTCGATTGAACGGGTGTACTCAGTTGGACAAATCTTTATAGCTAGAATCCAGTTTTGGAAGTCTGACCAAGGTTACAGGAGATGTACATGGTGGTGGTGGTGGGGTTTGGGTTTTAGAGGTTGAGTGGTGGTTGTAAAGAGGAAAGGGGGAGAGGAAGAAGGCAATCAAATTGTTTGAATTACGACACAACTACCTCCCTTTCTGAAACCTGGCAGCACTACTGATTGCTGAACCCATTTATGTAGTAGCATCAGTAGCAAAGCTCTAGTTGCACCACAAACTATTGATAGTGACTCCTGATCTAATGCCAGTTGAAAATAGTGCACTCTTTTAGGGGTGAACTATGAGAAATATACTTGCCCCATTAGCATGCATATAGTAGAGCAACCAGCCCCCTTCAACAGCTCTCATAATGTGTTCTACGCTGTTGAAAGTTAGGTCCACATGAGGTGTGGGATAAAAGGACAGTGAGGATAGCACTCCCCTTATTCTTTTCCTAAAGGAGAAGAACTTCATTTCTGAGACATTGAAAACACATTATTATTTTCATGGTTGATATGTTTAGTGAAATTTCATGTGCTGTGCTGTCTAAATTTGGTGAGTTATTTAACAGGAGGACTTCTACAACCAACCGACCTTCAATATGTCCAGGTCAACTATTGTAGATAACATTGTGAAGTTTGTGACAGAAGTTGTTGGAAACTCATACTATTCTGCAGTGAAATCTGGCTTTGATGACACTAATACAAATCAGGCGACGAGGATTTCCTTCAAGGTGAGCTTGAATTTACTGAATGTTACTCCACTGACCATTGTTATTGTTCACATACCAACTCCTGTGTGTTGTGCAGTATGGTTGCTCGAGAGGGGTGTTTGGGACGCCTATTTTCTTTGTAAACGGATTTGTATTACCCGGTGCTGGCGCGGCAATAGACTATAATACATGGAGAAGCATCATTGACCCATTGGTCAGCCAGTAGAAGGAGAAACCTACACATTTCCTATAGCGAGGATTTTATCTATTGTCTGTCTGTTCTCTCTCCCCCCTCCCCAAACATATTTGAACTTAATAAATTTAACATAAGTGCCTCTTAAAGATTGAATTATGCCCTTCTTACGTTTTTCATTTTTTTTTTTATTATTGGGTAAGTCTTACATTTTTCATCTTATTCACCACAAAAAAGAAACATTTTCCATTTTCTGAATTCCCTTCAAAGAGAATGGAGCTATTGGATTGAAATCAGGCCTATGCTAATCCATCCAAATTGGGATGGGACAATTTTAAACTTCGGAAAAAAGGGTAATTATACTCTGCTCACTCCAAGTTTATACTAAATTTGTAAGTGGTCCCTGACCTTTTACCTCTATAAATAAAAAAAACTTGCAAATAATCCCATGTCATTTGGGAGTAAATTGTAGAATAACAGAGGTAGTCAAGCAGATTTTTTTTTAATCCAAATCATAACAGAAGTATAATAAGATTCACTTCATCGCTCCAATCATGCAATATCGACTGCTTTTCATTCATAATTTCAAATTTTCAAATCATGAAAACTATATTAGGGAGAAAAAGTACTTTGTCTATAAATTGTCGTACTGCTAAATTGTAAACAATATTTGTAACGTCAGAGGAAATAGATAGGTCAATTAACATTCCACCCATGTTCATGAGCTGACCAATAGATTCTCAATAAATCACCCAAAACAAAAGAATCATGCAACCATAAAATAAAACATCAAGAAGCGAAAAATAGAACAAAGATCATTAAAAAAAGGTAATACAACACAAAAGAAATGAGATCAAATGATGTGGTGTTTTGAAGGTAACGAAACAAATTTTACGGACTGAAATTTTGAGGAATAAATTGAAATGTAAAACCCGCGTGATAAATTTTATTTCATTGAAATTTAAGAAGATCTTTAAAATCTTATCAAAGTATAATCGATTTGTGGGAGATCGAAGACGGTGCACTTCAAGATAGGAAAGTTTCAGCAATGGACATGGCAACACTGTCTGTGCCACCACCAACATCCACTAGCGAAGGTTTTGGAACCAATGACTCAAGAAATGCCATGGTTTTGCCAAAGTTGGATCTAGTTGATAAAGCACAAATGCTCTTTGCATTTAAAGGCTCATCCTTTAAGAGTAGACTAGAACAGGGTTTCAGTAAATACCCATCTTCTTGTTCATTGTCGCTTACTTAATTAAAGATATCAATCTTGCAAAATGAAATTAAAACACTAAGAAAGGCTTAATGTATTGTTCCTAATTTGCAATCGAAAGAAAAGTAACAAGAAAATAGCTCTAAAATTTATTATTTACAATTGTAGCAATCCAGAGTTGTGTATACTAAAAACAGGAAAAAAAAATGGTTCTAATTTTTATTATTTTTTTGGATAAAAATCATAGTTGGTCCATGAACTTTACCTTTAGTTTCAATTTGATCTATGAAATTTTAATTGTCCCAATTTAATCCCTCAACTATTAATATTGTCTCAATAAAGTTTTTCTGTCTATTTCTACAATTAGTTCAATGCTGAAATAGATCAGATTGAGCTAGTCTTCAGTTGATTTAATGATAAAAATTGTTGAAATGACTTAATTAAGATAAAATTAATAGTTGAAGAACTAAATTGAGATAATTCAAAAATTAAGGGACCAAATTAAAACAGAAGACAAAATTGAGGGACCAATTACCATTTTACACTATTTTCTTTGGGTACAAGTTTGAATTGTCGTAGGTTTGGAAAGCCCGGCCCGATGAAAGAGAGTTCGTAACTTTCGGACCAAGTAACCAGGCCCGATGAAAGAGAGTTCAAAACATTTGGCCCAAATAAAATTGAGTCACACTAACCGGTCCGGTCCATTACTGGAAAGTGATATAAATATTTGGGACTTCAGAGTGAGGCGGTTAGGGCGTGAACGAAGAAACGAAGCCGAAGAAGAGGGCTCTTCCTTCGTGGAGCATACTATCTTATCCTTTATTCGAAGAAGGTACGAAAAATTACCTATTCAGATCCATTGAGAACTTATTTTTGCTATCTGTAGTCTATCGAACGATTAATGCTCTATCTCTCTCTCTACAACAACAAAGGAAACCACCAAGGAAAACCTAGTTTTTTCTGAATCTCGGTGGTTAAATTGAAACCCGAGGTTCTTGAGACTTATTTTGCGATTTCATAAGATGTTTTTGGTGTTGATGCTTTTGTTTTTTGCTTTTTTGTTGTGGTATAGTTTTGATTTCGTTTTTTCGTTTGATATGTTCTCTCGTTTGCTTTTGTGAATTTATGGATGTTCGTTTGCAGAAAATGGATCGGTACCAGAGGGTTGAGAAGCCTAGGGTGGAGACTCCGATTGACGAGAATGAGATTCGGATTACGAGTCAGGGGAGGATGCGAAGCTATATCACTTATGCCATGGGTCTGCTTCAGGTATTTGTTCAATTAACCTTATTTAGTCGTTGTTTTATCTGGAACTCCTTCTTCTTCTTCTTCTTTTTCTTCTGTGGTAAAATCTTCATTGATGACTTGCTGTCGTTTATCTGGATATGAACTCAATATTATGAAATCTTGTGCAAGATAGATTGGATTTCCTTTCCGGTGATGGGCTGAATGATTGCTTATATATGAGGCAGTCGGTGTGCAATGTGGGCCTGTAATTGCTTTCCAGTTACTGACTTTATTCTTTCAGTGGCTGGCTAATATGATGAGCCATCAGAATCAATGACAGATGAACCATAAATCAGATTTTATTTTACTAATTTGCGAGTGTGCATACATGGATATCTTTACAATTGAATTGTGAGAAATTGATCCAATCGAGCAATACTCTTAGTTTTTCAATCGGCAATTGCTATATATATGCTATTAATTTGTGTGAGTATATACATAACTATTGATGCAATTAAATTTTGAGAAATCGTTCTACCCATACCAGACAGTTTTTCTTACTGTTAGAGGCTATAGTCTTGGTAGTTTTATTGACACCTATTTATCTACGTATGTATTACGTGTAGGATTTTGAGTGATATGTAAAACAAAGAAAAAATAGAATCGAGGAAGAAAACCCGCTTCGAGGGGGGCGAAAACCTCCAATGGCTCAATTTGAGAAGAACCTATGTCCAAAACTTTCACAATAAAGTTCAATACAATATTCAACATCCCTATTTCATTGATAGGAAGACCTTTAAATACAGTAAAATAAAACTACCTTAATAACTAACTTAACTCATTACTCCTATTATCTTAGTAACCACTTAAGAAACTACCCACAAAATATTCTATGACTAACTCACTTACTAAAATAACTCTCTAATAACTACCTCAAATACTACATAAATATATATTAAAAATGTGCACATAACAGTATGGTATAAAATATATTTGATTATTGGCCGAAGTATGATGCTAGTGGCTGGTCCGGTAGATAAGAACTCAGATTTCATCCCTCAATGCTTATATTCGAGTCTCTATAGTTACGAAAATTTGGTGAGGCTAAACGTACTCTTCAACTCTCATAATATGTGGTGAGACCTTAGTTTCGGCTCCGATGTAAGTGTGGTGGAGTTAGAGATAGTTGTGAGATGCTAAGCCTTGGCGGATATGTGGGGTGACCTATTTGTATATTTGTTTTTTGTACAAAAAAGAAGTATGATGCGCAGAAGAATAAGAATTGTAAATGTAATAATCTGATACCTTCATTTTTTCTAATTTGCCTTTCGTTAATACTTTGTAGGAAAAAGGTTCTCCAGAAATTGTGTTCAAGGCAATGGGTAGAGCTATCAACAAAACTGTAACAATTGTGGAGTTAATTAAGGTTTATGCGTCCCAGTGCTTATGTACTCGTTTCATTTGTAACATACTATTGGGCTTGTTTACTGATGGAATTGATGATTGTGCATCATACTTTATTGTAGAGGAGAATTATTGGTCTTCATCAAATTACCTCAATCAGATCCACCGACATAACTGATACATGGGAGCCCCTGGAGGAAGGCCTTCTCCCGTAAGAGCTCTTAGCACCTAATTTTGGTCAAGAAAATATATGCATCTTCAAAGCTTAATGATAGTTATTGGCCTCTGCATTGGAGATCGCCTATTGTGACATTCTTTTTCATTGATATGGCTTTTCATTAGTATTGGTGTCGTTATTGTAGCTTGGAAACCACTAGGCATGTTTCGATGATCACCATAATTCTATCAATGAAGGAGCTGGATACATCATCTGTTGGGTGAGTTGGGTTTAGTCACATTTCATTTTCCTATGTAAAATTTTTATGACTAAGCTTTCTAGCGGTAGTAGTGTATCTGTTAATAGGCTCTTAAATAGTGTGATTGCTTGCTAAAAACTAGAAAATGATCTAAATGATATGATTTCTTCCCAATATGTGTCCTACCACTGTGAGCAATGGCTTCATCATTTTAATTCATTACTAAATAGCTTGGCATTTTGTTAATGTTGACAAATGGAAGATAAAAAATGTTCGATATCTTGACATTTGTCTATGTGTGGGTTCCTTGCTTTTTAATCTTGTCTCAAAATATTGAATTTTAGGATCCCTAGAAATTGTGAAAAGAGGTAAGTAATTTGTATGCGTAATAGATTTGGAATTCTAACGATAAGAAATGTTTGGCATAACCTTGAATCTGATTGAAAGATATAACCACTTAACAAAGCCTTGCCTCAACGTTTTTGGGGTCGACTACATGAATCCTGTTTTACCATTATGTTCTGGGCTCTACTAAGGGCTATATTTTTTGTTGAACTATAAGTTATCATATCTTACTTTATTATTTCATTTGAAGTTAATTTTAGTATTCCTCAACCCCTATATTTATCGTCAATAGGTATCATGTCACTGTTTGTCATCGGTAGCGTAGTAGTCTATATATAAATATGTGATGTAGAGGGAAGAGAAAGAAAGGGGATATTAAATCCTCAAAAGGATTATGTCAAGAAGCACAAATTTTTGTAGAGAATTCTCAAACTAATATTTAACTCTGATTAAAATAATATAGAGTACATCCTTATTTATAAATCAATTGTCCTATCATAAATGAATTACTCTACTATTAAAATTCTATCACCCTACTAATTTCAATCTGATAAATACTATCTAACTAAAATTTCAAATAATAAATAATAAAAATAACAAATAAAAATCCTAATAAATCTACAAAGTACATTTTCCTTTAGACCAAAAACTCTTAGCCTTTCACCTAGGCTTTTAGATTCAATCACGTTGGTCCAACCATCCTATGGCTATGCCTTCAATTCTTCTTCTTTGAAAGAAACTTGACTCTGGCGAGGAAGGAGGAGGGCAAAGAATATCATCTGATAAAATAGTTCGAGAAATCCATGATGAAGTCTTTTCTTGTTGACGCATAAGATTCTCAATGTTAACTCTATTTCTAGTAGATAGAGGACGAATACCACCTAATATAGGACTGTTAATCAAATCATCAAAATCAACCTCATTAACATCAAGAGGCTTCACAACTTAAATCTTGGAATTTGACTTATTAGATTCTTTAGCTTCCTTGGGAATTTCCTTTTCAATTGTTGCAACAACCTTTGTGGGGCATTGGAAAGACAAATGGCTAAACCCTTGACAATGAAAGCATCTTGTCTTGGCATTAGGGTTAGCACCCCCTTGAAAATTAGAAGTAACACTAGGATGAGTTTGTTTATTAGGGACAAAAACACTCTCTTGTGGTTTACCAAATGACTTACCTAGTTTTGTATTCACAAAATTCCTATCACTTTGAGTTGTAGACACTTGAGAAGACATCAGAGAAGCCTTTTTTTTCAGATTGTCTTCCATTTGATAGGTAAACTGAATTGCATCTGCCATAGTGTAAAGACAACTTGTAGCTAACCTTGAAGAAATCTTTGAATCGAGCCCTTGCGTATACATGGTGATCATTACATCCTTAATCTATGGGAACTCAGATCAGGTGGCTAAGCAGTAGAATTTTCTTGTGTAATCTCGACAGACATGTTTTCATGATTCAACTATTTGAAATGTAGATGAGCTCGTTACTTATAATTAGTAGGCACAAAATAACGAGTCATAGTAGTTTTCATATCATTCTATGATCTGTCAAGGTGAGTTTGTTGGTACTTTACCTACCAAAGCCTTGCTACACCCTTTAACTTAGATTCTATAAAAATACCTTCCTCTCATCAGTCAAACGATACCATCTGAAAAAACTTTCAAGGTTATGCAATCAATCAAGGTATGTCTCGGAATTATTATCCCCACGAAAATCTCCAACTTCTAACTTAACTCTTGTATCAATATCAAATAATCTAGGTTCTTCTTAAACTTGAGCTTGTGGAGGAGCCTGTACAAGTACCTGTGGAGGATTGATGATTGAAGATGATGAACTATTATGGACATTTTTCTCAACTCTTTTGGCGTTTAATTCGGTGTTGGAAACCATCTTAATGGAATAATTGACTTGAAAAATTAAAGAAAAATTTGGGGCTAAATTGTAATTTCAGAAATTTTAGGGATCAAACTATAATTTTAGAAACTTTAGGGGTCAAAATGTAATTTATAAAACTTTTGTGGGGAGAAAGTGTTATTTTAAAAACCTTTTTTTTTTTGGGTAAAAATTGTAATTTTAGAAACTTTGGGAGGAATAAAGTGTACATTCGAGAATATATAGAATTTCAGATTTCGTCAGGTCGTTGATAGTTCTAAAATAGGCTAGGTTAAATCTAAGGAGCAAGTTACTTAAAGATATGAGTTGGTAAAGGGTTTTATGGGCTAGGGGTTTTTTTTTAAGCTTGCTTGATTAACAAGAGTAGTCGCTTTCTTCGGCGATAACTAATAGCAACAACAAAAATTAGAAGAGTTGAGATTATGGTTCGTAATTTTGCTCTGATACCAATTGATGGAGAGAGAGACGGTGAAAGAAAGGAGATATTGAATTCTCGCAAGGATTAAGTCAAGAAATACAAATCTCTGCATAAAATTATCAAACTAATATTCAACTCAAATAATGTAGAGTACATCCTTATTTATAGACCAAGTGTCCTATAATAAATGAATTATTCTACTACTAAAACTCTATTAACTTATCCTTATTAATTTTAATATGATAAATACTATTTAACTAAAAATTCAAATAATAAATAATAAAAATAACAAATAAAAATGCTAACAAATATATCAACTATATTCCCAGTGGACCAAAAACTCTTAGCCTTTCACCTAAGCTTCCAGATTCGGTCACAAGTTTCTTCCTTGTTTTATCTCTTTTATGTGTTACATTTACTTTTTCACGGATATATTTGTTTCTAATTCTATCTTTACTAGTTTTACCTCTTATTCATCTTAATATTTTCATTTTCACACACTCAACTTTTGAACGTGTTGTTTCTTAGTTGTCCAACGCTCTGTATTATAAAACATACCGGGTTTTATGTCTGCTCTATAGAACTTTCTTTTTTTACTTAAGGGGTATGCATCTATTATATAATACACAAGTTGTATTCCTTTACTCGTTCATCCTTCATTAATTTTATGAGTAATATCGTCCCCAATCTCACACTGACTAATAGACCTTAAATTTTTAAAGCATTCATTCTTTGGTATCTCTTAATTTTCAATTTTTATCTATTTCTCAATTTCGATTAATTTTTTGTTTTAAACTAAAGTTACATTTCATTTATTTAATTTAGTATTACTTATCCTAAACAACTATGAACTCGTTTGGTTGTCGTATTAATAAAAAAAAAGGATTGGATTAATAATTCTGTATAGGTGCATAAAATATAAAATTGAATAGAGGATAAAAATACTTTCTATTCTATCCCGTGTTTGTTATAACATCAGATTAATATCTAGATAATAGTTATCTTGTCTACTCTTACGTTTGTTTATTCTATGAATCTCGTGGTATTAGGATCACATTGACCAAAATATCCCAAATTTAAACTAGTCTAATTTTTTTACTATTTTTTAACTTGAATTTGTACAAACAAAAGTCTATAGTAGATTCAAACAATCAATAATAAAAAAAATTACCTTAGTTGATGATGAGAGGAGACGTGAATTGATGAAGAAGATTGTTGCGGGAAGGGACATGAGTTGTGTGGGTTACGGTAGTTTTGGGGATAAAATAGTAAAATAACGACATAATACTTTTAGATTGGATTACAATACCACCTCCTAGGTGGTATTAAAATTAGCTTAATAGTATCAATTGGCGGTACTAAAAATATACAGTTGATATATGTATTTGATTTAGTCCTATACATAATACCAAGTGACTTTTGGCATCCAAATATTGTATAAACTAGGATTAAAGTATTTTATCACTCTTTAGTATCCCACGAGCCCTTTGATTCTAGAGCTTCTTGTCCTATTTCTAGTTTATTTTAATTCTTTTTACTTTCATCAACTAATATAAATATTGTCACAAATATCTTGAATGTACCTTGTCGATTCATACATAATCAACATAAAAGATATGGATTGAAAGCAACACTCTAATGTAAGCCTATAGTAATTGACAATTCATTAGTCTCTATTGTCGTTATTCTCACTAAAGTCATGACATTTTCATACATTTTCTTAATCACGTCTGTTTTAATTCTTGTGATCTTCTCTATCCAAAATATATTTTTATCCACAAATAGAGGGAGGCAAGATCATTTGTACACTGGAGTGAGTCAAATGATGATATGAGCCTATTAGGTATTTGAGTTGACTGAAGTAGTTGGTATGTGGGAATTGAGTTTGGTGCCACTCGGGTGGCCAGTATTTCATTTTTTTTGTTATTGCAAAAAAGCACAAGTCAAACTAAATGCACTTGAATCACAGAGATCTGTGATCACTCATGCATTTCTATGCCATGTAGCTATCAGCCTCCACTTCCAGCTGACCAGGTGAAGGTGGCGACAGAATTTGATTATGAACGAGGTAGTGTGATATCTCATCGTTTATGCAAGTATATTTAAGTTATTATTCACAAAGCCATTCATTGTCATATGCTTTGAACGTGCAGAGGGATCACCTACTAATTTGGGTAGGGGTCGTGGTGGTAGAGGAAGGGGGAGGCCGAGAGCCATATCTGGTATGAGATCTGATTTAATTTACTTTTTAGAGTTCCTTTGGTTCTTGAAATATGTTGGTAGGATATTTCTGTTTCACTAGGTGGTACACACATGACAACTATGATCACATCGTATGGGACGAGCAGAGAGAGAGAGAGGAATAAGGGGAATAAATAAGGATGGAGTAATGCACACTGTGTGTGTGTTATGTTTGCTTCTTTGGTATTTATGTTGCTTTAAACTTAAACCAGCATGAAGACTAAGTTAAAATTTGAATACATTTCGTTGGCTATTACGTAATAGTGGAAATGTGGCCTAAATTTGGTTGACCAAGGTTGCAAGTGGTTCAGTTTCTGAAGTATACGAGCTTTTGGTTCTGAATGTGGTAGCATAGTTTTAATTTTTGCAAATTTAGTGATTACATTTTATTATCACAGGCAATGGCTATGCACATGCTGAATATGAGGATGGAGGTTACAATCGGGGCTATGCCAGGGGTAGAGGTCGAGGACGAGGTCGTAATTTCCGTGGCCGTGGAAGGGGAGGGTACAATGGTCCACCAGTGGATACTCAGCAAGATGCTGTAGGCTACAATCAAGAAGTGCCTTTTCGGGGCCGAGGTACAGCTTCATGTTTCCGAGTAATATTTTCTACTAAATTATGTTTGGCAATAATTTTTGGGGGCTTGTCTTTTCTTCTAATGTCACAGTAGGGGTACAATACTGCTAACTGCAACTTTGAGAATCAACTAATCTGACCCGTGTTGCTTGCTTTTTGTTTGGTGGACATTTCTGTCCTGGATTAACCAACTGGAAAGCCGATTGATATCATTTCCGGTTAGTAGATTAAGTGTGAGGTGCAAGATATAAGATGCAAGAGCTGATTAGATGACATAGGTAACTGGATCCAGCTCTTGTAACAATAATATTCATGATTGAAACCCTGATCAGTTAATACTATCACTCATGATACCTGAGGCTTTAAAGGCTGGGGTCCTAACCCTGTTTGATTGACAAGTTTTTTTTGTTTACTATTGACTTTGGATTTCATTGCTTGGAAGAAAGCAGTTGGGCATTTTGTGTAGCTTTTACTTGCCATAATAAGAACAATTTGATTTAAGAGGAAGATTCTTTCTTTAAATGAAATGAGCCAATGCAGCATCTTTGTCTTAAAAAAAAATTGTGGGAACCCGTGCTAAAGGATCTCTTAAAAAGATGGCTATTATAATTTTTAATATATATTCTTAAAATGCATGGCCCTAAAATTTTGATTCAGCAAGTGCCTTTCAGTAATAATATTCTTCAACTATTATGCAGGGCAACTGCTATAATGGCACAGCAAATTGGTGCTCTTCATTATTACATATGATGATGATAATTTTCCTTTGTTGTAGGTCGTGGCCGTGGAAGGGGAACTCGTGGGAGGGGTCGTGGCTTCAGATCCAATGGGCCAATCCTTGCTGCTGCTGGAGGGGCTTAGCTTAGCTGCTGTGTCTTGAAGCGTTGCAGAGCTTATGTTCTATAACTTCTTGTTGGATGCCTGCTCCATTTCTATGCTTTTATTTTTTCTGTCCTTACTAATATTAACTGTAGGACATAGGTCTGTAGCCATTGTAGACTAACCAATAGAAGTTTGGACTGCAGCCCTTATGTGGTGTCCTTTTTGTATTCTTTCCTTTTTATCCGTCTACCTTATTTTTTCCTTTCCTTTTGTAGAAATAGGTCTGATGTATTATCACTGTAATTTGTTTAGTGAGCAGCACATTCATTCAATTATTTGTGGTTGTAGAACATTTTCTTTCTTTTTTTTTGTTTGGGAATCTGGTAAGTGATTTTTTTTTATCCTGGCCCTTTCCCCTTTTTTTCAATTTTTTTAACAGTAATGCTATTAAAATTTGATTTACTGATATAATTTATTGATTTAATTTATTGTTATTTTTGAATACACTGTATCAAATATTAGAATTTAGTGTTAATTTAATAATTTTTATGAAATTATATTATTATTTTAGTAAATTAGATTAAATTTTTAACTACAAATAATATATATATATATATTTTTAAAGGTGGTTGGGTATTGAATCAGTCCGCTTCGTGCCATAGAAAGAAGCATACATGTGAGTTTCGTTGGTCGTGATTGTAGTATCTTATATATCAAGGCTGCCGTACTTGATTTGATGTTTTATCGTATGGGTGAGGATTTTTATTTGTTAATGTTTTTGTTCATTAATAGATAAAGATATCACGTATATATGTATTATTGTTAATATATAAACCCATTTACATTTTATTACTCATATATTAACCATTTAACATATTTTAATATGAGTAATGCTATTTAAATTTAAAAATTTGTCTTAATTTGTTAACTCAGTTCACTGTAACCTTTAGATTTAGATTGATTCTTAATCTTATTAAATATTAAAATTTAGTATTAATCTAATAATTTTTATTAAATTATATCATTATGTTAAAAAATTAAATCAAAATTTAAAATTTAAATAACATTACTCATTTTAATATTTACCCCTCTTCTCGATTTCTCTCATTGGTGGGACCCATACTATGATCGAGGTTCCCACCCTTGTTGACTAAAATGCAGTGCACACCACGAAATGAGCAGAATAGCAGCCGCAGTATCAAGTGGCGGCTATGACTCTTTTCAATTGTAACAGCATTTTAAAAAAATGACTAAAACATATATTTAGTTATTGAAAGATACAAAAATACGTTTCAATAGAAAATATTTACATTAGGTAAAATATATTTTTGTTAAACTGTAATATCATGTATAAATAATTTTTAATAAATTCTCTCTCCGCTTGTCATTTTTTATCTCACTTTATTCACTCTATTTTTTTTTTCTCTCTCTTTTTATTAGTCCTAACAAAAGTATAAGATATAAAAAATAATATTTAAAAGAAATAGTTAATATATAAAAAATTTGTTAAAATATGTATTAAAATAAAAGAAAGTTCATTTTTAAATAACTAAAATACCAAAACTTGGAGACGCTCTAATAGCGTATGCGCTGCTGTCATCAATTGCCCACCTCAATTCTGAATGTCACATGCTTCTGTCGTATAGATATATATAGAGCAAGAGAGCAAGCAAGAGCCGAAAACTAAAGAGCAAGCAAGAGCCGGCTATGGAGATCAAGGAGGACATTGTTATAGTGGGTGCCGGAATAGCGGGTCTCACTACATCTTTAGGACTTTGGAGGTATAGGGACAGTACTGTGTCTCTATGATATTGTGATGGCCTTTTTACGAGTACTGAAAGTGTTCGTTCTTAATTTTCAATTCCATGTAGGTTGGGACTTCGATGCTTGGTTTTGGAGTCATCGGATAGTCTAAGAACAACTGGATTTGCTCTTACTCTATGGACCAATGCTTGGAGGGCTTTGGATGCTGTAGGAATTGCTGATTCTCTTAGACCACACTCTCTGCAAATACGCGGGTAAGGCAAAAAAATTGATCTGCTTATATTGCCTAGGTAGCCAATACTTTCTACCTGTATTTACTGCTTAAAAGGTAACACTCCCCCTCTCCTATGAATTTGGTTGAGCATTATATGGGGAAAATTACCTCTTAGTCTGATTTTTGTAAAATTTGAGGATCGATCTGTTGAAGATTTATGTTACTGCTGACTGTTGGTGCAGGTTTCGTGTTGCTTCTACTGAATCAGGGCTTCCAACTTCGGAGCTATTGCTTGAGACAAACGGGAAACAGTGAGTGGAAATTTTCATGTGTAACCTTTCATAGAATTGCTTAGTTTAGGTACAATTTGGGACCATACAAATGGGCCGGACAAAAAACATTCTTTTGCATACTGTTGCAAATCATATGTGATAAGTGCTAGAAGTGCGATATTTGTAAGAAAAAAAAAGCATTCACCTGTTGGACTTCTAATAGTTTATGTAGATAATAGTCATACATACTACGACAAATAATTCCCTAATTTATTTTGGTCTTTTAGAAGGCCTTTAAAAAATTGGGGGTGAGAACTTGCATTTGATCTTCTAGATTACTAATTTCGTAAGCTATTTGAGATGACAAGTTACATATACCTTTTGAATGCATAGAATAGGTACATTATTGATAAAATTGACAATTTGTTCCAGAATTATTCTTGATTATTTATGTGAATTTTGTGTTTTTTTAGAATTGTTCTGATTTCTGAATGGTTGCTGAATTGTGAATTTCTTTTTTTTTTGGTACGATGGTAAAGATAAACAAAAACACTAAGCTTTCCTAACAAAGCTGATGTCAGCTAGATCAGCATCAATCAATCAAGTGATTTCCTCTGGGGGAGCTTCAAGCTTGAAAAACTTTTCAGTTTGAATTTTTCCTAATCACATGCATGTATGTGAATGCTGGAATCTAATGACCGTTTCTATTGGACTCGCTCCAGACATTGAGTTCGAATCTCAGCATCTGAATCTGGTCTATACTTAATATGGACCTGTTATTAAGTTTGAATGAAGTTGTTTTAACGTGTGATAATGCCTTAACAATGTGTTAAAGTAGTCAAATGTATTTAAGTCACAATTAACTGGGTAAAGTGCTATTGGACCAAAACATAAAGAGGATAAAATGAAGTTTATCCAACAATTAGTGCCGTAGGGTACCATCTATTTTCCTTCTAAAACATGCTATACGGTCATCTGACAATCAGTTGCGACATGATGATGCAGTGGAGATTATGAAAGTCGTTGTGTGAGAAGGAAAGACCTGCTAGAAGTCTTGGAAAAGGAACTGCCCCAAGGCACCATCAGGTATTCTTCCAAGGTGGTTTCTATTGAAGAGTCAGGACACTTCAAACTGGTCCACCTTGCAGATGGCTCCATCATTAGAACTAAGGTAACCGTTGCACCTTGCAAATAGGTCTATTTTAGTTTCCTGTTGATTTATAAGGCAACTCTTTTATTTGGTGTTTGTCAATTAACAATGGTCTCCACAACTTATGAACTCTAATATGTTCGTTATGTCTATTGACTACCTTCCTTCTGCTTCCCATTTAAGGTGTTAATCGGGTGTGATGGAGTTAATTCACTGGTGGCAAAATGGTTGGGTCTTCATAAACCAGTTAATGTCAGGAGGTCAGCAATAAGGGGACTTGTGGATTTCCCAGATGGCCATGGATTCGAGCCTATGTTCTATGTGTTTTTTGGAGGTGGTGTCCGCTATGGTTTTCTTCCAGTCAGCGAGAAGAGCTTGTATTGGTTTTGCACTTTTAGTTCGTCTGTTGTCCAATGTAAGCCCATATGCAATCCTCAGATCCCCTTGCCTAGCCTGTATCTTCACGCATGTGTTCTCATGTTGCATCATAAATCATAACTGGTGGATCAACTTCCCTTGATATGTTCTAGCAAGTAGCAATATATATGAATACGTAATGTGATTATCTTACCGAAAGTGAAGCCAGTGGAAGTTTATGACATCAAATACAAAATACAGCATTTATAATTCACTTTTCAATGTTCCGCGTGGTTTCAATTTTGATGTATTAAAGTTGGGATCTAAGTTGTGTGCTCTGGTCAATCACAGATGGTGAAGGTATGGAAGAAAGTCCATTGAAGATGAAGCAATTTGTATTGAGCAGGATTGGCAATGTACCCAAAGAAGCGTTTGGTGTCGTGGAAAGAACTGAGCTGGAGTATATCTCCTGTGCTCCATTGAAGATGAGACCTCCATGGAATGTCTTATTGGGTAATATCGCTAAACACAATGTTTGTGTAGCTGGTGACGCGCTCCACCCCATGACCCCGGACCTTGGTCAAGGGGGCTGCTCTGCATTGGAGGACAGTGTCATTTTAGCTAGGTGTCTTGCAGAAACTTTCTCCACAAAGCCAAGAGGAGAAATCAGAGATGAAGAAAATGAAGAAGAAGAATATGAAAGGATCAACAAGGGTTTGATGAAGTACATGAAAGAGAGGAGATGGAGAAGTTTTAGTCTTATTAGTACTGCATACGTGGTGGGTTTCATTCAAGAGAGTGCTGGAATGGTGATGAAGTTCTTGAGGGAGAAATTGTTTTCTAAATACACGGCTGGGACTATGCTGAGGATGGCTGACTTTGACTGTGGAAAACTCAACTTTGCTTGAAGCAATTGAGATTCGGTTGCAATAGTTGTACGTCTTGGGATGTGAAATATTTATGTTGCCATCTTTATGGAAGATATGTTGTGTAAAAGTTAACATAGATCCGAGTTGTATGAGTTTTATTATGTTATCAAAAATTTATTTTGGTAGCACATTTTATTTTACTTTTTAATCGATAAAAATGTTTGACATTTTAAATATTACTTCATTTTATTATTTTTAAGATTAATGGCAACAACTACATCAAACTAACATTTATGCTTCTCAGTCAATTTTTTCATAACAAATCACTATATGAAAAAAGTGATTATTCAAATATTCTTCAACTAAATTAAAATGGGACTATTGAAATTCATATTAACACTCAATTCATCTGATTAACATTCAATAAAAATTTAATTTATTAAATCAACACCAAAGTAATATGAAAAATTATTGAATGAACATTTAGTTCATTAAATCAATACTAAATTAACATTCAACTCAACAAATTAACATTCAATTTCATCTAATAGAAATTTAATTCATCAAATTTAATATTCAAATTCAACTATTTAACATTAAATTTGTCAAATTAGCATTCAATTTTATCTAATTAATATTCAATCTATCAAATTAACACAAAATTAACATTCAATTCATCAAATTAATACAAAATTAATATTTTATTCATAAAATTCACATTCAATTTCATCCAATAAATATTCAATTCTTCAAATTAACACTAAATTAACGTTCAATTCATGCGATTTATATTCAAATTCTTTTTCATCAAGTTAACATCCAAAATTATCTAATCAAAAATTAATTTATCAAATCAACATCAAAGGAATATAGAAATTCATCGAATAAAATTTGATTCATCAAATCAATACAAAACTAACATTCAATTCAACAAATTAACATTTTATTTCATCTAATAAAAATTTAATTCATCAAATTAACATTTAAATTCGTCTATTTCATATTAACTTTATCAAATTAATATTTAATTCAACAATTAATACCAAATTAATATTCAATTCATCAAATGGAGAATTACCGTCACATTTTTCCTCACCACTATTAGAAGAAGAACTAGTGAGAAAAAAAAATACTTAGAAACCAAACAAATGATATGTACGGATAAAGGGAGGGAAGAAGGCAAAAAGAAGTGATTTGGGCGGGAAAGACGGAAAAGGGAATGGAGAGATAAGATTATTGTGGACTACATATGTCTAAAATAAATAAATAACTGGATATTAGTGCAATTTGAAAATAAATAATTGTCACAAAGAAATGAAAATAATGATTTGAATATACATAATTTATGTAAAAAACTTAAGCATAAACAATCATATTAAATTTAAGCAACTCCAATGTAGAGTCGTAATGTAATTAAAATAACAATTTAGGTTCGATTGTATTGATTGACTTAGAGCATGATCGATCATGATCATGATTTAGGGCATGATTTGAGTGAATATTTGGTCGGTCGTGATTTGGATTTTTTCCTTTAGTTCTTCCCTATGGTTTGAGTTCTTCGAATGCGAAAAAGTGATTGAATTAATTCAGCAATAAAGAGTAGAAGGTAGAGTTTGATTCCAATCAATTGATTTATGTGCAAGTTTGGGTTGAGTTTGTTTGAAATAGAAGCCACCTCAATACTTATAATCGTCCTAATTTTTTAATTTGTTAAGGTTAATAGTTTTAATTTTGAATTTTTGGATGAACATAAAAATTTTTATGGTTAGAGGATAAAAGTGTAATTAAGCATTGTTGAATTAAAAGGGTAAACTCACAAAAATTATACTTGGAGGGTAAAAGTGTAATTAACAAGTGTTAAATTACAACCGGTCGCCACTAGTTACGATCGATCCTAATATCTTGGGCCAAACTCGCAAAAATAATAATTAGTCATTGTTATATTATGACCGATCGCCACTAGTACAATCGGTCCTAATATCTTGAAAAAACATCATACTTAGAGAGGATAAAAGTATAAATAATAGGATAAAAGTGTTATTTACTCATTTGCTACAGGGTTAATTATTTGTTATGAATTAATCTAATTTACAATGATTAAATTAATCATGTTAACTACAATGATTAAGAATGATTAGATTAAAATTTTAGGGGATAAAATAAAAAAAAATTGATAGTTAGAGGATAAAAGTATAATTAACAAATAATGTCAACCGACGTAAGCACTAGCAACCCATCCTAATTTAAAGGGTTAATATTATATTTTTATCCTTTAATTATCACAAAACTCCTTCAGTGTAGTCCAAAAAAATTTATTATTTTTAAATAGTCCCATTTTTAAGGACCAAATCAATTAAATTTTTATGGGACGAAATTATAATTATTAACATTTAAAAATGTTGTAATTAACTATTGTTGAATGTTGTAATATTTATATATTTATGGTTGGTCCTAATGTTTTGGGTTTTTTTTTGACCGAAACTAAAAATTGATAAAAGTTAGAGGATAAAAGTGTTATTAACAAAAAAATAAATAAAATAGGACCCAACCGTATTGCTTTTTTTTTTTTTTTGAACAAAGAAACACAGAGAATATCATTACGTAGAAAAATTCTAATTACAATCATTAGATAAGAAAGCCTGAAGCTCGGTATCAGTAGAAGGAGAACCCACCCAACTCAACAGAAGTGAGTTAGATAATGTCATAGCTGCGACCAATGAACTGTTCTATTCAAAGCCCTTGGCTTGTATAAAAATCTTAAATTAAGTTCCTTAGAATAATGCTTAATGTCACTGATAAAAGCATTAACTTCCCATGGAGTGGTGTCTTCGGAGGAGCTTAGTTTGATCGTCTCCAAGTTATCACTTACTACAGTAGCATCCCTTAACTCAGAAGAAGAAGCTAAAAGACAGGCTTGTCTGATAGCAGCTGCCTCAACGGAGAAACTGGACCCAGCCGAGACCCTTTTAGCAATGTCATCCACAATCAGCTCACGTGAGTCATGGAGAATCACCCCTATAGCAGCAGCACCATGCTTGAAAGCACCATCACAACGCAGAGTAGGAGCAAGATTATGGCCAGGAGGATGTCAAGGGGGCAGCTCGGCATTGGAGGACAGTGTCATTTTAGCTAGGTGTCTTGCAGAAACTTTCTCCACAAAGCTAAGAGGAGAAATCAAAGAGGAAGAACATGAGAGGTTTTAGTCTTCATCAACAAGGGTTTGATGAAGTACATGAGAGAGAGGAGATGGAGAAGTTTTAGTCTTATTAGCACTGCTTATGTGGTGGGTTTCATTCAAGAGAGTAATGGAATGGTGATGAAGTTCTGGAGGGAGAAATTGTTTTCTAAATACAAGGCTTGGATTATGCTGAGCTTGACTGTGGAAAACTCATCATTTCTGTAAGCAAGTAGGATTCGGTTGCAATAGTAGACTTGGGATGGGGAATATTTATGTTGCCATCTTTAAGGAAGATATGTTGTGTAAAGGTTACATAGATCTGAGTTGTATGAGTTCCATTATATGAGCTGCAACTATATATCAAACTAATATCTACGATTCTTAGTCAATTTTAATATACAAATTTTTTTCATTATAATTCACCATACGAGAACAGTGAACCCTATTATTCAAATAATCACCATAGACATTCAACATTACTATACTCACTAAAGGGGAGTGATTGAATTGGTTGATCTCATTAACTTTCACTAATTATCTAGAAACTAAGCTTGTAAGGTTCCATTGACTTTTACTCATCTCTCCAATAACTTACTAGCGTTCCACGAGATATGGCTAATAAGTTAACTATGATTGTCTTGTGAAAATTATTTAATAAAAATAGATTTATAGTTGTAAATTAAAATTGAATTTTTGGTTGATTTTGAAGTTAAATGAAGGTGGGACCTGCTTGTCGTTTCTGAGTAAATTTTTGTAAATTCGTGTTTTACTCTGTGAGTAGAATATCAATTGTTGAATCCAAAATGTATAGAGAAAAATGAACCCTAGGAATCCTATTCAATTTTTTTCTCTCTTCCTCGTCATAAGATTTGATATATCCATTATTCTCTAACAGTTGAATAGTATCCCTTCAAGTCATTCAAGCTCTCTTGCTCCTATCTTTGTATAAATTTTCAGAATCATTGAACCACTTGGATTTGTAAAGTCGATATGCAGATAAACTATTATTCCAATCATTGCCACTTAATTTTTTCTTGCTGAAATTAGGTGGAAGTTAGGCATGGGTGTTTTTGCAGCCAATGATTCTCATTCATTGCCGTTTTAATTTTCCCAACAGATCCATGGACTTTTCAATAAGTTTATTCATGGCCTTGCTTGTCGGTGTTCTCATCACATGGCCAGTTTTATTAAATGGGAAGATGGAATATATACAGCTCGATCTTTTTTTTATACTTTGTAGTATAAGACATTTTGCATCTTTCTTCAGCCAGACACCGGGAAATAGGGGAAGAACTGGCAAACTATATAGAATTATTACGACGGTGCCAACCAATTGATCAATCAAACACCGGAATAAAGTAGTTGGAAAAACATTTGAAAAAATTTTAATTGCTTGTGTTCTCCCATTGATCAACATTTTAGTTGAATGTTCATGACGAGGAAAACTCATCTGTAAAGATGTAATGTACATACTTAAAAACTGTTGTATATATTGATTTTTATATATTATCAATCAGCTACATGAGGAATCCTAAATACCCAAATGGATGTTTAACCTTAGGCTAAAACTAATGCCCCATTATAATTTTTTTTGGTTACAGGGTGTTCAAACTTGCGCCGACTACTATCTGAAGTTTTACGTTTGGCCCATTAAAATTTAAATCTGTTGTGAAAAGGTGGGTTGTAGTAGATCCAGTTAGATTATAATCCATCAGAGTATTATGTTTTCGGATAAAAAAGTAGAAACTGCCCAACTTTGGATCTCATTCTCTGCATATCAGCATATTATTAATACCACTAGACCTGGGAAGTAAAGTAATATAAGCCCACAGTCTAATGTCAAGTACATGTGCTTGACACATTAGAACAATGGGGTTGTATCATATAATAAGGTCAAAGGGAGCCATGTGAGGTTCTATGAGATGATTTGAAGCAACATATTCTATTACACAAGGCATTGAAAATTATGGATTTTCCTTCATATTGCAAC